AGAGCAATGGGAATGGGAACAAGAGGTCAGAAGACATGAGGGGTACAAAAGAAGGAATATAACAGGAAGAAGATCAGGAGAAGAAGATGTTGGATACTTACATGCTGTCAACATTGAGGAATTACCATCTGACATTGCCTCATTGCTGGAACAATATGATGATATCTTGCAGAACCAACTTCATTACCACCAGTGAGAGCTATAGATCATCAAATTGTTCTGAAACCAGGAGCAACACCTTTCAAATTGAAGCCTTATAGATACCCTCATGCTCATAAGGCTGAAATAGAAAAACAGGTGGATCAGATGCTGGAAAAAGGCACAGCAAGGGAGAGCAACAACCCTTATTCTTCACCAGTTCTGTTAGTTCAAAAGAAGGACACAACTATGAGCATGTGCACTGATTACAGACATCTGAATGAGTTGACTATCAAAAGCAAGTATCCAATTCCAGTTATAGAAGAACTGCTTGATGAGTTACTCGGAGCAAAATACTTTTCTAAAATTGATTTGAGAGCTGGATATCACCAAATCAGAATGAAGTGGGAGGATATATCAAAAACTGCTTTCCAGACACATCATGGACAGTTTGAATTTGTGGTAATGCCTTTTGGTTTAACCAATGCTCCTGCAACTTTCCAAGCACTTATGAATCAGGTATTCAAACCTTTCTGAGAAAGTTTGTACTAGCTTTCTTTGATGACATCTTAGTATACAGCTTAAGCATGGAGGATCATCTAACCCATTTAAAACTAGTACTGCAAACTCTCAGAGATAATGAGTTATTTGCAAAGAAGTCTAAATGTAACTTTGCTCAGACTTCTATTGAATATTTAGGCCATGTTATATCTGAGAAGGGAGTAGAAATGGATGAAAGGAAGATTCAGTGCATAGTAAACTGGCCAGAACCACAATCTGTGAAGGAACTTAGGGGATTCCTAGGGTTGGCTGGATACTATAGAAGATTTATTAAAGGTTTTGGCGTCATTTGCAAACCTTTAACTGTTTTGCTAAGAAAAGATGCTTTTAGTTGGAATGCAAAAGCTAGCACTGCCTTTCAGACAATCAAGAAGGCACTCTCTAGTGCACCTGTCCTCAAATTACCTAATTTTGAGCTTCCTTTCATTGTGGAGACTAATGCTTGTGAAAGTGGAATGGGGGCAGTGCTTATGCAGGAAGGACAACCAATTGCTTTCATCAGCAAATCATTCAGTCCTCAAAATCATGGGATCTCCATATACGAGAAGGAACTAATGGCAGTGGTTATGGCTATAACTAAGTGGAAACACTATTTGGAAGGTCATCATTTTATTATTAAAACTGATCATCAAGCTTTGAGGTATTTGTTGGAACAGAAGCTCACTACTTCAATGCAACACAAATGGTTGGCTAAGCTGTTGGGGATGGACTATGAAATACAATACAAGAAGGGAAGAGAAAATGTGGTTGCTGGTGCTCTTTCAAGAATATATCAGAATGAGGATCAGACTCTAAATGCTGTTAAAGCAATGTCAACCATGAGACCACTTTGGATTCAACAACTAGAAGATAGTTATGTGGGAGATAATGAAGCTCAGGAGATAATAACTACTGCCATTATGGATGCTATCCATCACCCAGAGTTGAGTTATGTTAATGGAATCCTTAAACTACATGGGAAGATTTATGTTAGAAGTCAACGTGGAATCAGGAAGCTATTAATGGAAAATTTTCACTCAACTCCTTTAAGAGGTCACTCTGGTCAAAAGGCCCCTTTTCAGAGGTTAAAATCCATTTTTACTTGGAAGAATATGATAAATGAAGTGGAGGAATATGTAAGGACCTGCATTGTTTGTCAGACTCATAAAGGGGAACATCTTCCCTATCCTGGTCTGCTACAACCTTTACAGATTCCTACACAAGCTCCGACCAGCATTTCTATGGATTTTATTGATCAACTTCCTCCTTCCTTGGATGGATACAATTCTGTTTTGGTTGTGGTGGATAGGTTAACTAAATATGCCCACTTTATTCCACTCAAACACCCCTATACAGCTAAAGAAGTGGCTGAAATTTTCTTTAAAGAGATCTTTAGACTTCATAGAATTTCGGGAGATATTGTGAGTGATAGAGACTGGATCTTCACCAATCATTTTTGGAAGGCACTCTTCACCACCATGGGGGTTAAACTGAGTCTTAGCACCTCTTAGCACCCTAAGACTGATGGCCAGACTGAGAGAGTGAATCAATGTTTGGAGGCTTACCTGAGATGTTTTTGCAATCACTCACCAAATTCCTGGTCATCATGGATGGTATTTGCTGAGTGGTGGATAATACTAACTTCCACAACATTGCAGAAATGACACCATTTGAAGCACTGTATGGACACAAACCTGGCATGATTCCCCTTGGTCCATATCAGTCCATCATTATTCCTGCTGCTGAAGACATGTTAAATCAGAAGGCTCGGGTGATCAAGACCCTCAAGGAGAATTTGGAGAGAGCTCAACCAAGGATGATCTTTTATGCTAATCAGAAAAGAACTTAAAGGGCTCTGATGGTGGGGGATTGGGTGTATTTAAAACTACATCCATACAAGCAAAAGACTCTTGCTGGAAAAATATCACTAAAGCTGTCTGCTAGATATTTTGGACCTTTTAAGATCCTTGAAAAGATTGGAAATGTAGCTTATAAGCTCCAACTCCCAGCACATTCAAGAGTTCATCCAGTATTTCATGTGTCTTTGCTGAAGAAACACTGTGGAAATGCTCCAGTCACTCCTGCGGAGATTCCAGATTTTGCTGATGAAACAGAAAGTTGTTTGACTCCTGATAAGGTGCTGCAGAGAAGATTCATCAAAAAAGGTAACCAAAATGTGGTACAATGGTTCATTCAGTGGAAGGATTTTCCTCTTGAAGATGCATCATGGGAGGACAGCCAGTTCATCATCAAACAATTTCCTGATTTCAGGACTTGAGGACAAGTCATTTCTTAAGAGGGGGAGAATGTCATACAGCCCAAAATCCTTAAAATTGGGAATTAAATTAGGTTTTGGAATTTGGACAGAAATGTCATCGTTGCTCTTCGTGATCACATGCAGCATGCAACATGAAGCTTTGGATTCCAGCTGACGCAGCATAGCCAGCTTGATGTTTCCTTTTGGATAATGACGGCCAATTTCTGTTTTAACTTAAATTATTAGCTTGTAATATATAGGAGAATAAAGCTGTAATGATCATCATGAAAAACGTTAATGAATTCTCTTGAATTCTCTTCTCCTAATCATCTGATCTGTCCTCTCTCCTTCACTCTCTCTACTATCCTTTCTTCTTTTTTTCCCGCTCTATACGCTCCTCTCTTGTCCTTTTCTTTTCCTTTTCATCTAATTCAAACTTCTGCATTATTTCTTTTTCTTTGCTGTGAAATTAATTCCGGCAATCGACTAAATACAATAGTCATATCATAACAATAGATCAGTTTTGTGGTTTGGGCTTAAAGATGGGCTTCATGCCTTGTATTGGTTTGGGTTGAGAGCCTTTATGTTTTGAGTTTCAAGAGGGGAAAAAAAAGAATGGGAAGTACTACCAGTCAAGGGTCGAATCTGAGGCAACAAGGAGTAAGAAATTACTTTAATTTATTTAATAAACCAATTACAATCTAGAAGATCTGGATTCTAGATGAATGATAAAATCAAACATTGACCATCAAATATAAAAGAGGATAATTTCATTAGCATCAATATAAATTAAAAAAAAAAAAGCTTAAAAGAATAAATAATGCTCCTGGATCTTAAAGAAATAATTCACATTCAGTTTTAAAATTTGTACTATTAGTTTTATTACAATTTTCAAAATTTAATGTAAAGCATTTTCTTAGATCAAGAAAAATAATACTCCCTCTGTCCCAAAATTATTGTCCAGTTTGAAATTTCACTTTTAGTACAATTTGAACTAGAAATGAAAACTCAAACTGAACAATAATTATGGGATGGAGGGAGTACGTAATAAAACATTGACGGCAAATAAAGGCAATCCGTATTGGAGGAGGAGAAACATTGACGGTGAATAAATGTAAATGGTATTGGAAGAAGACGAAGAAGACCTTAGGAACTTAATTGATGTGAATCATCTTGGGAGAAAATTTTGTTTGCTTGATATCGGCAACAAACTCCACGAAATTCCGAAGAGAGCGTAGACAAGTACCAATATGACCATCACAGTGTAATGTTATTATATTCCGAAAATGATAATTTTGTGAATAAATAAAACTTTTTTTTAACGATGGAGAGGTTAAACTATAAAATCAGGGAAACAAATTCCCAAAAAATATGAGTAAATCATTGCGTTGTTAACAAAGAACATTGTAATAACTTATTTTGGATATCCAGTGAAATTTAAATAGTGGTACCAATTATTTAAATAAGTCATCTTCTGAATTTCCAAAACTCAAAAAGAAAAATTAATAACTAAATTATCGTTGTAATTATGGATATTCATATCACTAACTCAAAGTTGAGGTTTTAACTTGAACCACACACGCAATGGATTCAGTTAAATTTTATTCATATACTCCCTAGTAATCTTTTACTTGAGTGATATTTAAGAATTCATAACTATAGTTAAAATCTTTTCAGCATCTACTATACTAACGGAAGAAACAAAAATCATCAGAAGTTCTATACATACTGTGTATTTGATTAGGTTAAGAATATTAGATCCGAAATGAGACATCCTTGGTAACCTAGGGGACAAATTTCCTCTATATTAGGGGTTTAGTGTCCTATAATTGTCTTTCTAAGAGTAGCTTTAGTTCTAAGATTTGCAAACGTATTATTTCAAGTTAACCAAGAGCAAAGTAACCATTATCAAAATATAGACATGAATGAGTAAATTATCCAAAACCTGATGATTCAAATCCACAATATCAAAACACTTTAAAATCAATCTTCCCATTTCCAATCTTTTAATCTAATGAAAAAGGAAAATTACGTTTTCCCATATACTATTTTAAAGTCTCTCAACTCAATGTCTTCTGCCGGACGATTCTCGATGAACATAGAAATAAACAACTGCAGCCGGCGGTCCAAGGTTAAACTGGTGTGCAAATCCACGGGTGTAGAAATGAGCACGAGACGATGGTGGTGCCAGAAAACCTAATGGTTCTTTTTGCTCGAAAAGAACCATTATGTAGCGATGAATCTCAACCTTTGGAAGAGGGGGTGAATACGCCATAATTTCCTTCCCTGCCAAATGAATACAACTCATTTCCATTATTAAGGTTATGCAAAATTTTGAAATACCATAAGTTGATGTTATTTGCTACCCTAGTAATGCATAAATTGATAATTATAGATCACTATAAGAATACAGTAACCAAATCAAAGAAAAACATATTAGTTTGAAAATTTTTTCTTCAAATTTCAATGAAACTTACCTCGATTTTATAAACATATGCCTATTATAAACTTTTTATTGATTCTTTAAATGGCATACATTGTTTTTAAGAAAATGTAGTAATTGAATATAATTTCAAAAGATATAGCTTTAAATGCTTGCCACTTGTTGAGAATGACCAAGAACATAACAAACATAACACATGCAGCTAATGATTCTCCCTGGCTAGATATCAATACAAGGTTTATCAATCATAAGATATGATAACATTCAAAAGTTTCTCTGAAGCAACTTTTACTTTAATTTACAACTCTTCTTGGTGCATATAACAATAAAAAGACCAAATAAATAACATATCCAATGTAATTTGTATAAAAAATAAGTTATTTTAAAAAACACATTTCAAATTTTAAAGTGTTAGTTTTGGCCATATGTGGAAAAGAATTTGATATTTCATGCACATGCGCGTTGGAGATTTTTGACAACAAATTGTGCATGTTATCATTTGAAACGATGCATGTTATCATTTGAAACGAGGCATAGTAATAAGGCAGTTATTTTTTCGTTATCAACTAAATGATTATGCAAGAAAGAAAAATACCTTCAGAAACCGTTCCGCAGCCAGAGATATCTGTTACAATCCTAATATATGTACACGAAAAGGAAATTCATTAAGATATAAAAATAAAATATTTTTCATCCACACCCTTAACCCCCACCCCTCCCCCCCAAAATAAAAGAGAGAAATCCTCTTTATCATAAAATTCTATTATAAATGAATATTTTTCTTGGAACAAAATAAGCAGCGATAAAGATAAAGAATCAAAATAAAAGGCGCTTACCAATGTACCCACTCTCTAAGGTCAGGCTCACTGGGACTCGGCGCATTAGGATCAATCATCACCTATATATACAGCATTATATCAGATCAAAAAAATTGAAAGCTAGTGAACATTTTAGATATGCAATAACATACAGTAAACACAATTGGCAAGTAGATCTTGAATCTCTTTCCATCCATGAAAAATGATCCAAGATGGAAGGAGTGCGAGGGAAATAAACAACATCCAAGCATGATATGGAAAAATAAGATGAATAAATATGACTAAATTATAAAAGAGTTGTGTAGATTAACCAGGGTATAGCATTGATTCGGATATCCACATATGTTGACTCGAGGAGTTGTAACCGCCACAGATGGCTTAATATCACTCGCGTTAATAACCTTTTTATTCCCGAAATACACTGACATATTAACACTAGGTATAAACATATCGACCACATCACTAATCACTCTTCCTGTTACTACAAATGGATCAGCATTTGATGCCATTGGAAAAGGGGAAATTCACAACGTAAAATTAAAAATTAATGAAGGAAACAAATTTTTGAGAAGGCGAAAAGGAAAGAAATGGTTATGCAGCAAGCGAGTCAAGAAAAAGAAGGTTTGCATTTATATACGAGAAGGAGAAGGCAAAAAGAAAAATCATGGCAAGTTGTGAACTCGGGGATGCTACCAAAACAACATGCAGAAAGAAATGAAAAAACTGGTTAACATGTGTAAGACTTCACCTGATGAACAGAGAAATCACCAGTCAACAAATTTTAACATTTGTACCGTGTTCATGACACGCGTTCATGAAATAAAGGATTTGCTATGCGTTTTAAAAGAAAAAAGAAATAAAGATTCAGGTCATGTGGACAAATTGAGATACCTTTTGCCCATACATGCAAGCAAACAAAATTTATGAATGGTAAGTACATAAATTGGTTAGGCAAGAAGTTAAAACTAGATTCCTGACATATCGATCTTCTTTTTGATTATAGGTTTTCGATTCTGTTGTGGCAGGATATGTTTATCAACCAAAGTCATTCCATTGTTGGAAGATTAACTTCCAACTATCATGTAACGATTGATCATTGAAATTAGTGAAATTGTTAGAAGGCATAAGTTTATAGATTTTATTTTAGATTTATAAATTTTACAAATTACAAATCTTAGATTTTAGAATTTTGATGATAATATTAGGTTATTATTTACATACAATGGGCATGGGAGAACATGAAAAATCTCATTTCAAACAAATCCCACCCAACGTGAATTTAGTGTTCATAATACAGAGTGTATACAGCAACCTAGTTGATCAATTTCACCTCTAACAAATTTACTACTATTTTTTATTAGTTATGCAGTCGTTCAAGAAAAAAAAAAATCTTGTATGTGTGTGTTATATGGCACACAACATCAAAGGATTCAAGCAAAGGTGTAATTAGGATGCTACAATAAAATGGGAGGAAAATGATGTTTTGCTATTTTGAATTGAAAAAATGGTTCTACAATACAATAAAATCATGTGTTACGTTTTGTACTCACACCAGGTGTACTACATAAGGCAGCAAATCCTATATATTAAGAGAATAAGCTTTTCAGACACGTGTCACATAATGAGATGTCCAATCAAACAATCATAAAAATCAAGCCTAATTAGATATAGTAAAAAAAAAATGGTAACTATTTAATTTAACTTATTTACTCATATATATTTCATTAACCAAGGTAAATCAAAAACATAATAATAATTAGTTAACATTGAACAAGGTCTGGACGTATGGCACATCGTCCGTGATTTTGAAACGTTTCTAAACGCTTTCAGAATTTTCAAAAAAGCACAATAAATATCATTTCCAAATATGACTTCCAAGTTTATGGCACATCATGATATGATTTTAAAATTCAAAAATAATGAGATTTAAATTGATCACCTTAATTCCCTCCCACATCCGAAAATTAATAAATGAAATTTATTTAAAAAATTATGGGTAAATTAACCAGAATAATATTCCGTCCATATTCACAAACTCCCCAAATATGTTAATTAATTGCTCCAAATTCTATCAGTAAAGCCTAAAGTTTTAACCTATCCACAAATTATATAATTACTCATATAAAATATTTACCAAAAATATCTCATAACATGTTAAACCCTAAGACCATAGTTATCTTATGTGCTATAAATAACCCAAATTAGAGGCCGTGACAGCAGTCTGGTGCATAAGCAAAGTCAATTTCCGTCCCGTTTGAAAGTTGAATTAGTCACTTAATTGTAATTTTGATTAAGGTAGTTCATCCTTTTTTTTTTCTACAATAACTTTTTGTTGCAGATTGATGAGATGACCATGTTGCTAAGCGATGTATGAACGAGACCATACACCATTTGTTTTTCCAGGTATGTGACCGCTAACTAATGTTATTTTTTGATGTATTTTTTATTTTTGCAGGGTAACAAAACTGTAACTGAGTTTAAGAAGATCTAATATACAAGTTTAACGATTGCAAAAATATTGGTAATGTTCAAACGCAATATTAGGATTTCAAAAATTCCAGAGTTGGCTAATCCTCCTTCTATTTGTGGATTCAAGTTATCCAAGTTATCTGATCAATAACAAAAAGTTGAATGATGTCGTGCCCTTTTATATGTTCTAACATATTACATATGTGTTACCACATTTAATTATAATAAAGAAAAAATGTTTGGTCATTACAAATTTCTGTATTTACTTACTGTTTGAAATCTTTTTTTTTCTAAAATTTTAAAGATATATGTGTCGTGTTTTTATTATTCACTTTTTATCAAGTTTTTTTCCTGCACTAATTATGTCGAAATATTTTCACAATCCGGGCAACGCACGGGCTCACAACTAGTGAGTCAAGAAAGAAGTTTGCAAATGAAGGAATTCAAAATGAAATGATGAAATTTGATAGCAAATCTTTGAAAAAAAAAAAACAAAGCTGAAAGTGAAAGAAATGATAACGCAGTAAAAGAGCGAAGAAAAGAAGCGCATTATATACGGAAATTTCAAACCAAATCTCATTAAACGGTTTGGATAGATCAGTTTCGCAGTTTGGGCTTAATGATAGGTTTCATGCCTTGTATTTGGGTTGAACATGAACCTTTATGTTTTGTGTTTTGAATTTAAGACAACAAGGAGTAAAAATTACTTTAATTACCTCTAGAGCTTTGTTAAACTTGTGCTATGGGATGCACATTAAATGTCTAATGTAATTAAATAATATGAATATTGAGTGTTATAAACTGTCCGATCCGGTTTAGAAGTCATTTGTGTTATGAAACTGCAAATTGAATTCGTACCTCCGGTTTTTCTTTTACGTCTCTACTGCTTTCTTTAAAAAAAAAAAAGAAATTGTTCTTTTTTTGCACTTGTGAGGCCAAATTGCAGAACAGTTTGAGTGAGTTGAACTGATCCATGAATACTAGTGGTGTTACTTAAACGGGGCAACCTGAAAACTAACTAGTGAATGAATTAGGAACAATGTGGATATCATGAACACTGCAATAAAAATCCTACTCTCTAAATAGATCATAATCTATTAACGGAACAATACCTCTCAACAGACTATGCTATATATTGAAGGACACAATGTAAACAATTTTGAGAGGTAAATCACAATTATTAAATGGTAAAAATAACTAGAAAATAAAGAAAAGCAAATCAATTCTCCCATCCACCTATGAGGGAAGATGGGGAATGGGATTTATTTTATTTAATTGTATTTTGAAGGAGGCGGTTAGGGTTGAGGTGATAGGGAGGCGGCTCAGACCAAGTCTATGCTTCATAAATGTTTTTCTATTAGGTACAATGAGAGAGGCATGAGCCTAGTATTAAGAAATTACAATGTTGCGCGGATAGAAAAGACTAACGATGTCTGTTTTAATCACGGTCTAATATCCAAGTATAGTTAATTTTGTTAAGCTATATAACTATTGACGTCGATGCAAATTGTTTTTAGTTACATCCATTGTGTTTTCCGATCTAGGGGCTTACATTATGTTTGATAGGTTGGGAAGGCCATGTTTGGTGGACAGCTTCTTGATTTCCATTTTATACCGTCATTTTTAAGCATGTGTTTGGTGACTACTTCAAAAATCTGTGTTTGAGGTATATACGAGCTTCAATGTCATTTTTCGTTTCCGCTTTTTTTTTGTGCATAACTCTTTTTTTTTTTTTTTTTTTGAAAAGGGTGCATAACTCTTGATTGCATGGTAATCCCAGGATGCTTTTTTGCAGAATGGATTTCTATGCTTGTACTTAAGAGTTTTTCTGCCGTTTAATTAAATTTTCTCTTGATATATGTAAATGGTGTCTTTCTTCTTCTTTCTGTATATAAAGGCAGAAGAATGTATTCCGTTAGTAGCAAAAGTAACTGGCATTTGGAATGATTTGGGAGGGTAGAAGAAACTTTGGCACCTGTACATTACCAGAGAATGGTCATTCATAGGTTTTGTTTCCTTTCTTTTTCTTCAATAAAACTTGGTACTATTTACCATCCCTAAAGGGGGGGCTACACATATATATAGTAGAACTAAATTTAGTTCTAAGTTCTATGCTTAGCAATACAAAGAATCATGGCACATGTTGATACTACTAGGTTCTGAGGGGAAGAACAGAGACTGCAGCAAGCCGGCTACTATTACAATTCAGGTGAATCATATAACCAAGGTGATGGAAAACAATGATAGTAGCAGGAGGAGGTAAAGCGAAAACTGAAGTATTGGTGAGGAAGATTCGTCGTTAATTTCTGAGGAATCGACAGCGAGAGGCTTGCCGTCGCTGTTGAGGGTGCATGACTGGGGATACGTACCTTCAGTGCTCGACATTAGAGCTCTCAAAACTGAAGATACCGTATGGATATAAGCAGTTCTGTTCTTGTGGAGAAGCCATGTTAAGCCCATTAGCTCGCAATCCTTGCTGCGCATTTTAGTTGTCCTCTCCTCTAACTTGCTTGTATTTCCAGCTTTGTAGCCGTTTAGCTGCATATGTTGGAAATGATACAGATAATCTGTCAGTCAACCATACTCAAAAGATTGTTCACTGAAGGTATTCAAGAATTTTATTAAGAAAACAGCAGTTTTTTGAACACTCATTATCTCAAAAAGCCATTGCTATGATAAAAAAAAAAAAGAAAGAAAATGCGAGATGAATCGTCTCTAAAGTGACAAATAACAGAGTCAATGAACAGAACAGCCCCAAGTGTTCTTATTAACCAAAAAAAAGAAAAAGAGAAAAGCTGTTCCTAAAGTATTTTCTGCTATTCCTTCTTGATAGAAAAGAACTATCAATGAGATAAAGGTCTACCCATTAAAGTCAGAAGTTAGGACACCATCTTGAATGCAATGTCTGAATAAGTGAAGCATTATGTACTTATGTCCATACTCCATAGTACCTCAAAAACAGAAATAAGTAAAAAAAAAAGTACAGGGTCTCTTTCTACCCTGTTTCCAAATGAAATTTCTACCAATCCATCTTAATGAAAATCACAACTAATAATGCATTGATCCCCAAATAGCCGACTGGCTTTAAGTTGTAAATCCGAATGAACCCACAGAAACATCAAGTCAGCAAATGCAAGTCAAAACATCAACTATGCTATGCCAGTTTTAGCAAGATCCATTCTCCAGCTCCCTTGGGAACAAACATGTGAATAAACTGGGACCATTGTTCTTGAAGTACAGATTGCTTGGGTAATCTAGACAATTTCGTTTCAAGAAACTTTGTACACGGCCTAATTTTAGACTAGCCTATTAAGTTAGGGGACAAAAGAAATGAGTGTGACCATGGACCATATAATTAGTTGTAATAGTAAAATTAGGTCGCTCTATTAATGATCTTAACAATGACACCCGTTTTAGAATAATGCAGTCTCCTCAAAACTCCGACCGCCATAAGCGCGTAAAAACAAGCGCCACCGTTTAAGAATACTGTGCGTGCTTCCAAAAGTAATACTAATAAATTCAACCACATTCATAAGCAAAGCTGCATGTGCAAGCAACATACAATTATAGATCAAAAACTTTCCCAATTTCTCTGAATGGATAGAACAATGGTCTGGTGTATTAAAAATCAATTCTTTATCATAGAAAACATGCAGAGCAGAGAAGGGAATTGACGGGGAATTAATTATCGTACCAGGAAAAGGCTGTTCAAGCATTTCGAGCAGCCATTGAGGCCGGCATAGCCGTTCGGACTGTTGGCGCCGGAGCAATCTTTCTCCAGCTTCTTCACGGCGTCGCCACCAGCCAACTTCCCTCGTGAATTCACATAAAAGGATTCCGGGCAGCTCAAGGGATGCAGCCTAATTCCACAGTAACAGTACACAATATCGCAGGTCTGATTGGGCTTCACCAAATTCACTCCTTTATTCACCAATGCCTTCTCCACACTGTCCACACAAGTCTCGGAATCGTCCGGCAAGAGTGGCATGTCCACTTCACGCGCCGCCGACGACGAAGAAGAAGACGACGGCGTCGTCGAAGCCGGTTTGCCGCCGGTGATGGCCCTCTGAAGTGCCGTCTTCGAATAGGCCGCGTAGAGCCAAGCTCCAAGAACAGGGCAGCAGCGCGTTTTGTGGAGGCGACCCGAATATGAATCCGGATCTAGACTGTGGTGCTTCGACCCGGATCCGCATGCTGATTTTATCCCTGAGAAGAAGTCATCTGGGAGGTCCAACGGGCACCCGTCCACGTTTGATTCTTCGGGGAAGGCAGGAATTGTTGCTGGGGGTGATCGGTTGGGTAAGAGTGGTTGGGTATTGATCGGAGCTGGGTCCGGGTCGGATAATTGGGGCAGGGCATGCAATGTGGATAGGTAAATGGATAAGAAGAGGAAAATGATGAAGTAGGTTTGGGACATGGCTTTAGGCCTTCAAGAACCAGTGGAAAAAATGGAGCTCACAAAACCTTTGTCTAGCCTTATGAGAAAAGGGTGAGGGTGGGGGGAGGTAGCCTTTAATTATGAAAGAGGAAACCCCACTCAAACCCACCCTATTTTTCCTTTTTTGGCTTTATTGAGGACTGTGCAAAGGTGTTGTACTAAGAAATGATAATGGTTAATCAATCAATATATTTACCCTCAAGTAATGTATTTAACATAGACTGTGATCAGTGTGGCAGTTGTGCTATATGCGTCTATCTTATCGGTAAAAAGTTGTAATCGTTACAGAGGTTGTACTAGACACGTCTATCTCATGAGTTGAGAGTTCAAATTTCATCTCATTTAAACTATGGTATTTTCTTTCTTATGAAATTGCACAAAATCAAGTTTTTGAAAGTATTTGTTATGAAGAACAATAATTTCGTTTTTATGAATTATAGAACATTTTTTTACCTCTTATATTGGTTAATGGAGTGAGTTTAAACTTTGGACAACTCATAAGGAATGTCGTACCATGTGGATATGGTCATCCGCGTCTCTTTATCGATCAAACCACAAATGAAGATGGATGTGTTTTTGTGTCATTGATTTTCTACAAGTTGATTCTTTACGTTTTCCATTTTTCTTAGACATTTTAATCAGTGCATAGTTGATACACGTGAGTGAGGATGGAATGATCCAATCATAGTTAAGTGGAATTTCTGTGAATAATTAACAACAATTTCCGTGTTCCCAATGAGTGTTGTACGATGAACTTAGTGTTTGTGTTACGGACTCGAGGCGAAGATTTGGAGACCGTGTCCTTGAAATTCTTTCTAGAGTAAAAAAATTCGTACAACCATTATAGTAATTTATTCTAATGTACTATGTTACATTATGCAGAGGAGAAAACAGATGTTGTCACCTATCAAGATATTTACACTTTGACACTAAAAATGGAATGGTCATCATGGGTAGACACTCTATGTCTTTGTTATACGATTGATACTCATATTCTAAAATTATTGTCCAGTTTGATATTTTAATTTTAATACAATTTGAACTAAAAATAAAAATTCAAATTGGACAATAATTATGAGAATGAGTATTGTTTACTTATTCGTGGCATCTGACATCCCAGTATTTCACTAGTCAACAAGAAACTATCGTGTTGAAGTTACAAGTATAGCAATTGGAAAAGGAAAATTTTGTGCACCAAAAAAAAAAAAAAGGAAAAGGAAAATTTTGACTCTTTCTAATTTACAGGTGATAGTGAAATTTGCTCAATGGGCAATGATCGATGATGTGGAATCAAGTTCGTCCAAGTTATAGATATCAAGGTGGATGTATATGTTTCTCCATTTGTGCGTGTTTGCTTTAGAACCATGCATGCTAATTTTATCTGGATATAGTTCTAATTACTATTTCAAAACTCTGCCATGCATGTTTTTTTTTTTTTTCAGGCATGCGTTTTTTTCTTTTTTTTACACACTTTATAATCCTCCATTTGATTATAATTATAAGGCACAAATACATCCAAACTAAGGATTCAAAGTGGCTAAGAACAAAGGCCTGCAAACAAAAGTATATAGTATTTTCTCTGTCTCAAAATTATTGTCCCGTTTGACATTTCACTTTTAGTATAATTTGAATTAGAAATGAAAATCCAAACTGGACAATAATTATGGTACGGAAGGAGTAATTATTAATAACGAGAAGATTATGGTTCTATAGCAGCAAGACAATCTTACTATTTCAGAGGAGGTCCTGCATTTCAGTCCTCAGTCAATCAAATATGGATAATGTCAAGTCGTCCTCTCTATATGGCTATATGAGGAAGATCTTTATCGAATTTTCCAGCAAGACTTGTTAAAAAGGTTTAACATCTTAGTTCTCATTATTATTTACATAGTAATTAAATGTATATTTACTCATACATGGTTTTGGGGTAACAAAAGAAATATTATGACCATAAAAGCAAAACAAACTTGAATCATAGGATGCATTGTTGTTTTCTTATAAAGACATGGCATGTGCCTACTTGGTGACCGGAAAGAAAGTGACAAAAACATGAACGTAAGAATAGGCCACAGTGTACTATTTGAGACAGCTTCTCAAATTCTCAATGCCCACAAAACATCATATAGTATCCAAACCATGCACATGCCCATCCACATCACAAACATTTTCTAAACCATCACTCTCACACACACACACACACACACACACACATATATATACACACACACATGACATATGCTAAAAAATTTACATTTGTTAGTAAAGGGGCAAAAGTTCCCTTTTCCACAATTTTTTTTAAGAAACAAAAAACTAAAAACTCGTCAATCGTAAAATTTGGTTTAAGATCTCCCATAACAAATAGGTTAATGTTCGTGACATAATCTCATCTTCATTGCGTATGGCCTAATTCAGGTGAGGGAGTAAAAAAGGAGAGTAAAAACTGGGTCTTTGGACGTCGAGCCAAAGGCAAAAGGGTCAGCACGCTCTCCCTTGATTAAAGCTGGGGGGGGTGAGGAGTTAGCTAAAGGAAAGATTTTAATCATGTATCTCCGTCTCTTTTGTTTATGTTTGTTCATCTGTGGATGGCGAGAAACGGAAATTTCTTGACTGAATAGAAACTAGACAAATCGATCTCAATGAAACTGAAAAGATGTGGAGCCCGTGACAGCCATAAATATGTCACGTCACGTATGATAATGAGAGTACCATTTTATACTGATTAAATTGGTTCACATCTTTAATATGAACTCTGCAGATTGAGCAGAGGTCACGCTTCTTATCAATAAGTCAATTATGATTTCCAAGAATTATCAGTATAGAATTTGTGGAATATATTTGATACTCCTTTTGTGTGTGTGTTTTTTTTTTAATAATCTCGTTCACTTTATTATTTCAATTCAATTATTAGTTTTAGGATAGAAAGAGTACGTTATCCAATCTTCTTTCTGGATTAAGATTTCAAATGGGTATCTATGAGGATAGTGATTGTCCAACAAGAATTGGTCCGTTTTCTGTTTTTTCGTGGTGATTAAGGTGAAATTCTCCCCCATAGTAAGACCTGTTTACATCAGGCAGCATATGGAGCAGAAGAGCAGGGTCATCCAAACATCCAATCCAAATATTATCAAATTTTAGTGACAAGAAGATCTCGAGGGATCGATGCAATGATCAAGATGGTCATTTGAATGTTTTAAAGAACAAATTACAATCCGAAATAAATCCAGAAAAAAGTTTGTGTCTTGTAACACAGTTTCTAACTTTGTTCCATAAGGACCAACTATTGTTGTAAACCGATTTCTTGGTTGTTACTCTTTGTAAAATTAAATGGAAATGGAGGCTTTTTCAGGGAAATTTGCGAAACAAAGCAGCTTAATTGAAAGGTTATTGTAAATGGGTTTCCAGGATTGAAGGCCTAATGAACGATTGATTGGTTGGACATTGTTTGGTAAAGTAAAAAGATGGGCCTAATGCAGGATCAATTGTGATTCTGTTTTGGTTGGTTTTGTCTCGCATTTGTTGTAAAGGGCTTCTGTAAACTGCATCGATTGCTACTACTCCCTCCATTCCAAAAAAATATCATCCTACACTTTATACATAATTTAAGAAATTCTTAAATAAGGTAAGAAAATTACTTGAATATTCTCAACTAATCCCATTAAAAAATATCTACCAATAGTAAAAATTCTTTTGAGGGTAATTTTAGTAACTTTGGACAAAAAATGAATTGAAATGAGAGAACGACACTTATTTTGGAACGGAAGGAGTACTACAACTAAAGGCCTGTTTGGTTGCTAAGGATTCTGGTCTGGAAAGTAATCTCATTCATTATTTTTAAATTCCAGTATTTGTTTCGCACAAGAAAGTAATCATGTTCCTAATTGTTAAAGGTCCTTTGTTTATATACTTTTCGAAAAGAAAAAAGAATCCTGAAATCAAGGAAAATAAGCATGCATTCCTGGATTATGATTTCTCACTTATGAGCTGGTATTGTGATTCCCAATTTTTAGAATTTTAACATTTACTCACTTTTTATTCTCCAAAACTTTTTTTTTTTCATCATTTACACATCATTCATATTTTATTTTTATCTTAATCTAATTTATTTTTATATTTTTATAAAAAAAATTACAATGATTAATGATTATTTTTCATTATTAATTAATAAAATATTTGATTTAACCACATAACAATTAGACATTGTATCAAAATGATTTTTTAAAGGAATAAAAATGAATTATTAATATTTCATATAAAATTTTATATGAACAATTAGATAAAAAAATAGATTATATTTTTTAATAAAAAATTAAACTTCCTTAAATAACTTGTGATATTAACATAGTTATCATAAATAAATTTAACACTAAAAAATTCATATCAGTCATACTGAATAAAATTTTAATTTTGTTCATCTAATTCAAAATTGTATCATCCTTGTTAGATTATAAATTTAAACATAGAAACACACACACACACACGTATGTATACATATACTAATAGATGACGTGAATAAGTTCTTGTTCATGTAGTTAGATTTTGAGCTTATTTCTTCAAGATTTTGAATGTGAAGTTTATAGGCTAAAAAAATATTTTTCTTACATTCAAGTGCATTTTCCAATATGTAACCAAATAAAAGAAAGCATTTATATTCTTCATAATCATAATCTCAGGAATCAAAATGTAAAGTAAAATGTTAATTTTTCTGAAAGTTAAAATCCCCATAAATGTTAATCTTACTTTCTCTAACTTTCAAACAACCAAACAAGCCCTAAAATATGATTAGTCGCCGCGAAAAAGAGTTCGTCGTTAATCAAGCGCTGCAACATTGATGAGTTTTGCCATATTCCAGTGTCTCAATGGAAGTATATATCTGCAGTTTTTCTCTTTTTTTCTTTCTTTCTTTTTTTTTGTCATAGAATCACCTCCGATCGTATGTTCAAGAAAAACCATCTTTGAACACCTTTTTTGCTTTTTTTTCCCCCTCCTACCGTATAAAGGTAGACGTAAATTTTGGGAAACTATTTACGTCAATATTGTCGTCGACTTATCAAGTTAGATGAATAAGTCAACGAGTGGTAAAATTGTTTGATGTGAGAGTTTCTTTGTGGTATATATAGTGAATTCTCAATTCAATTCCATGAATGATGTAAAAATTGAAGCGGACCGAATTTGATATCATGCACTATATTGTGTGCTTTTTCGTTGGTTTTTTTTATCCAACAATTAGATGCGATTCAACAATCTACTAAAAACATTAACCTCTGAACAATTAACTTCACCATTGATTCGAAATTTTATTTATTTATTTTTAACTATCAAAAAACCGAAAAACTTTAAATTTTTTAAAATTATTTGCGTCGACTTTGTTGTCGCCTTATAGTCCACAAAAGATGAAA